GGAGGCGGTGAGGGGAGGGCAAGGGAATTGGGAAAAAGTATGAACAAAGATAACATCATGTAAAGGTACAAGACGCCAATGGTGACGGTAACTACATTATTTACCTAAAATGTACCAAGAAACTTAATTAAAAAATTGCTAGTAGGGCATCAATATTGTTTTAAAAACATTATGACAAAAGATATTTCTTTGTCTTTTCACTATTTCTGACCGTGAGATTACTCCTTATATAATTAAGGTAGTATAAGTATTTGATTACCACATGTGCTCTTAGTTTAGAAATATGAAATAGAAATAATATAGCTCCTCAGGAATTATCATGCAGAAGAATTAAAATGACCTTTCAAAGATTTGGTTAAAATATTTATTACATTTAATGACTTTCATCATTGCACAGATGAGCCATTTTGTTTCTCAATGACAAACTGCTATGCAGAAGGAAAAAGCTAAACAAGAACTTTCAAACCGATTAGAAGTATTTGCTTAGATTAGAAATATTTGCTTAAGTTACTATACTCATTTTTTTTCCACACAGAAGCTATTGAACATTTTTTTAAAGTAGAAATACAGTTTGGTTTGTTTTTTCAAAAAAATTTTAAAGGCTGGTAAATGACTCCTATTTCTTATTTCATTTTTCTGAAAAGATGAACTGAAGCTGCTCAGTGTTTCCCCATCCGTGGTAATGTTACTTCTTTTATAATAATTCTTGTATCTACCTTTTTTCTCCTGTGTTTGTTGCAATGACTGTGTGGGTAAAGAGTAGCACATTTCAAAATTAGTGTTTAGGATTTCTTTAGAGATAATATTTCATTTTAGAAGCTTTTAAACCATTTAACCCATTAAATCGCATATTTTCTGAGAATCTTTCACTAAATCAGAACAAGTTTGTACTGTTCCTTTAGTCCCAGATTTTATCTCAGCATGTGCCAGCTGAAGACATAAAGTGTGTTGTGCAAATATGTCCACTTGCCAAGTTTTTATATCTGAGAAATATAAATAATAAGAGCCATAAGCAAACAAACAAACAAACAAACAAAAATCATTTAGTAATTCTTATAATTGTAGTTAAACAACTGGTTAGGAAATTTTGAGAAAAATGTGAATTGTGTGGTAAGCGGATACATGACCAGAAAATTTTATAATTATTTTAAAAGTCCTTTCTTTCCCCTGCCTTCCCTTTCTCTTCTCTTCTTATTCTAGGGCCATCCTGTTTTCCTTCTATTTGTGAGTGTCTTTTCCTTAGACATTAAATCTTTTGGCTCCAGGTGTCTCCCTTTCATTTATATTTTCTTAAACAGTTTTTCACATCTTCTACTCTCTTTCCTCTGTGTCTCTCCATCTCCTTGCTTTTTCCACTTTTCTCAGATATCATCAATAAACTCTTGCTTAGGACATTTAAAATATCAACTTGAAGAGCATATTTATTACAGCATTATTCACATCATACGAACGTGCATTTAAAAGGTAGCATAAACATTGATTTCGAATACCCTATCCCTTAGATAGTGTAATTTATTCTTTGAAATTGCACAAACATTCTTTGCATATTCAAATTAAGATAATGTCTTTGGAAATGCTTTGATTATAAATTTTAGGCATATTAAGGAAGCTGCAATTGTTGGGGGTTGATTTTTTTTGGAGGATTGATTGATTATTCATGGGCTTCATCGGTATCCTGAGGTAGCTTGGTTTGCTGTTGCCCTTATGTTAAGCAATTCACACATATTTAAACCTCAGCACAGTCCTGTAAAGTAAGCTTATCAGCCTTGGATTACAAATGCAAAAATTGTAACAAGTTATTGAACTTCTCAAGTTTTCACCTCTCATAAATGTAAAAGTGAGCAGGTGCTTATATATTAAGATGCGGAAGGAGACTCAATGGCAAAAGATTTTAACATTTTAATATGCTCAGTGGCCAATCAACAGACTTTGAGTGATTTAAAGGCCAATCATTTACCCCAAGGCCCCTGACCCTTAGTACTGTTTGTCTCTTCCCTATCTGGCCTGCTGAGAGGCTGTTTTCTAGTCCTATCAAACTCTTTTCCTTTTGTGCACATTATATTAAGTCCAACCCAGACTCTTCGCCTTTGCTGAATGGGGTATTCATTTGTGCCCCTTATTTGGCCTGAAGTGGAGTTAATGCTAGCGCTGTATGCTACACAATTACTTAAAAAACAAGATGACATGCTGATGGATCTGCAGTAAGTGGTCTCACTTGACAGCACGGTGATCTAACTTTGCCTTACACAGTCTTTTAACCAACTCTCTTATTAGGTACAACTCTTCATTCTGCACTTTCAAAGGAACCCAGGGTTTTCAAATCCTAAAACAGTGCAGTTTCTGAGGAGATAATCTTTTATCTCCAGAGCAGACACATTCAGCTTCCTCCCTGTCTTTGAAGTCATATAGTACAGATCCCAGCTTCCTGCACCACCCCTGCCCTCTGTGGATCTCTTTCAGTTGGGTTATTCAACGGAGGAGTGTGGGTTTGGGGGTTCAATTTATCACACTGTATTGAAAATCTAAAAATCTTTTTTTTTTTCACATAGGAAGATAGCAGTGCATGAAAATCACTGCTTTTGGAGTCAGATTCCCCTACTTACTCAAGTCGGGCACAGAGAGAAAATGATCTCTGTACACTCTGCTGGAGTGACAGAACTGGCTTGGACTGCCCCAGTTTGGTGGGGGAGCCGCTCCATATCAGGGCTCACAGGTAATTCAGATATCCTGGCTCTGTGTGCTAAGGGTCCAAAAGGCTTACAGGAGCTTTGTGGCCTGGAGCAAATCAGCCTATTTTTAAGGTCCCTGTATAGACACGGGGATCACAATTTCCACATCTGAGTACTCTCTTGAGAATCACAGGAGCTGTCATATTTTGGAAGTGCTGAGTGCTATGTGTTCATTTGCAAAGGACCGCTGAATGAACCCTGGGCCTTCTTTAGTAGCTCTGCCAACAAAGCATACTTTCCATGATGCCAGTGCTCATGTAGTCGATAAAGGAGTGATTCACTTGGACACCCTTGGAATACAGTGGGGGCTGATTTGAATTCAGGGGAACTTGGAGACCAGAGAGGTGCATTCAGCAGCTAAATTGGATGAAGGAGGGTTAAAGGAAGCCAGTGACCACAGTCTTTCGCCATCAGACATCATTTGATTTGAGCACTTGGGGAGGAATAGAGTATATTGTAGTGTCAGGGAAACAGTGTAGTGCTTTGCTCCTCCATTGAAAGGGAACAGCTGAGGTGGCTATTTAAATACTGTTTTTTTTCTATTTTGCATTGGATTATGTCATTTCTGCTTAGCCATTCTCTCTGAATTATTCTTCTCCTGCAAAATCATTTGTTTACAGCTGCTCACGTTCGGATGCTTCCCAGGGTCAGGGCAGGCCCCTCTTTCTCACCTGGGACTGAGGAGTATGTATGTTTACACTGACGACTGCAGATATTGTCACACCAAGGCAGAATGCCTTTGGCGTAGCATTAAGGCAAAAGATTTCATCCAAATTGTCACTAAAGTGTGAAGAACAGGACAGCTTGAAAAATCTTAGATCCAGATAATAATTTATACCACTTTTCTCTTTTAATCTTTCAAGCTTCCACCTCCCAGATTTATTTCATCTTCACTTGGCTGTTTGTTTTGTTTTTAAAACCTCTTATTTGAGATGTAATAGCATACAACTCGGGCCTTTAAAATGTACAACGCAATGGTTTATCCTCTGTTCACAGAGTTGTGCAACCATCACTACCATCGATTTTAGAACACTTTCAACATCCTAAAAGAAATTCCACAGCCATGATTTGTTTTCTCATTAGAAAAAATAAGAGGAGGGCAGAAACCCTAAAGGGGCAAATTAGAAGGGCGTAAGCGGATCCTCGCTGCTTGGCCTCCAGCTCCCGGCAGGGAGTACACAGACCGCGAAGCCCCTTTCTCCTGGGCACCTTCCCAGCGGCCTGCCAATCACTGGTCCACTTGTCCCAGTCAGTCCAGCAGCCGCTTGCACTCCTCCTACCTCTCAGCTGTCGGGAAATCCTGGAGCAATCATTTTCCTAGAGCTCTTAGTGTTTTTAGGAACCAGGAACCGAGCTAAATTTTAAAGAAACGAATGCATACATAAATAAAAATAATAAGTCAGAGGTCTGATTTCAGGGCTCAGGGTTGTGTATTCCGGGGTGTGGCCGCCCACAGCGATTAAGCTGGGGGCGCCGCGGCTACTTGCTTGTTTGAAAAGTGCGAGCAAGTTGGTGGTTTTGGCCTGGGGCTGGGCATACTTGTGGGTCTAAGTTCCTGGATCCTCCGCTGTTTGGGGGCTATTTTCCTGGTAAAGCTGCGGGCAGGGAAACGCTTGAGGGAGTCGTAACCCAGCTCCCACTACAAGGCCTTGACACCGCCCTCCTCCCCCGCAGCTCCTGGGTCCCCACTCCAGCCTGTTGCTCTCTCAGTGGCTCCAGGTCGGTTTTTCTCGGCGACTCTAGAGTGACTTCCAAAGTTCTGGGCTCTGGGCACACCTCGGCATTTGCGCCCGCCTCCCTCCAGGCTGCCCAGAGGTCGCCCGCGCCGGTGGCCCGGGAAGCGCACAGAACTCTCTGCGGGCCTCAG